ATAATTTATGTAATTGCACTAATAAATATATAATAATAATAATAAATAATAATATATATAATAAATATATGTGTTTATAAAAATATAGAATATTTTGAAGATAACTAGTCATCAAAATAATAAAGAGTTCATATATAATAATTCATATATAAATAGTTTATATATATATATATAAAATTTAATTTAGTTGTTTTATTATATATATATAATTTAGTTAATTTTAAGTTTACATTATATAAAATGAAATAATTGAAGAATGAAAATATATTATATTATACAATGATCATAAATATTATAATATCATTATGAAATATATTTATCATTAAAAAAAAATTATTTTTAATTATGCAAATTTACATAATTTGTTATTTAAGATTTACTTCCAACGAGTATTTAACATTCAGTACGATGATTATATAACTTCGTTTATTGCGTAAACAAAAATGTGATACGATACTATCACGTATCTCTTGTACGTTTTTAGTTTACTGGTACTTATTCTATCTAACACAAAATTAAAATTAAAATTTCTAATATTTTATGAAATATTTATAATTTATTAATTAAATCTTATCAGACATATAAGAACTTTTTCATTATTTTGATATTTAAAATTCATCGAAACAATTTTCCTTGTATCATTTTTATAGATACTCTTTATATCTGTGCAACACAACACTTAAAATAGGTGTAATCATATTTTCATTAAATGTTGGCGGTACAAAAGATGTGATTAATCTCTCGATCATAAGTTACAAATTAATGTAATGAAAATGGAAGGAATAAGGAAATGTATAAAAAGATATGTATATGTTTATTTTTGTTTCTTTTAGAAATGTGTTACAATTTTAATATTAATGGAAAGATTCAGATTATAATTGTGACTATGACTTGTGATTATATATTTTATAAACATTGCCTAGAGATTCTGACTAGGGATTCTATCATCTATCATCTATCATTCTATCATGAACTATCATCTATTTGTGCATATTATATATTTAAATCGGTCATTAGAATCGGAAAAATTTAAATCAATAAATTTGCATGCGGTTTTATTATATTTATTATTTTATTAGGTATGCAAATAAATTCTTTCCCCCTTTTAAATTTAAGATTTTATAAATCAGGTACAAGATTACATTTCAAAGTATTCACGCTTATTGTCTATAACCTTTTCCCATCTGATAAGTAAATTATAAATTCCATTCCTGAAGAATGACAGCTACTTGTTGGTTATGAAGTTATCAATACATTTTTGAATATCTTCTTCTGGGTTGAAATGCTTCCCCAGCAATTAATGTTGCATGAAAAAGACAATAGTTTGATGAAGCCAGGTCTGAAGAATAGGACAAGACTTTCCATTCTAATGCATAAATTGTGTCCCACGTTTCTTTACAACGTGTGGCAGAACATTATCGTGTTGCAAAATCACGTGTTTTGTTTCTTATCTAGTAAACGGCTATTTTTGCTCTAACTAGTCATATAAATTAATATTGATTTTAATAATATTCGGCAGCTATTGTCCTTCCAGATGGAAACAATTCATAATAGATGATTCCTCGGAAATTCTAACAGCAAAACTTTTTGCAATGCAAATTCGATTTTGCTACTGAAGTCGACGGTTCCCCGGGATTAACCTATGATTTCTGTCGTTTGAGATTGTTATATAAGACCTATTTTTCATCGCCAATAACAATATTGTGCAGAAAACTTTTCATTTTATGCCGTGAAAGCAAGGCAGCAGAAATCTCGAGTCTGTTTTTCTTATTCATTTCGTTTAATTCATGTGAAACTCATCGCTCTAACTTTTGAATCTTATCCAATTGTTTCAATCGGATAGATATTATTTGTCTAGTGACTCCCAATCTTTCTGTCAATTTTTCTTACGTCTAGATCGGATTTCCATTGAGCAATTCCTCTGACTCACCGTCATCAAACTTTCTCGGTTTATCAAACTTTTTCATTTCGAACGATCGTCATCTTCCAAATTAAAATTTCCGGCTTTAAATCTTTGGTATCACTTTTTCCATGTTTTATAAAATACAGCGTTCTCTCTCAGTGTCGCATAAACCATAACGCAAATAATGCTTCTCAATGCCTTTTGTTATATTGTTTGAAATTGTTCCAAGACTGAAAATTCTTAAAATGCTCATTAAGACCTTTTTTAAAAACAAAAAAATAAACGCTCTTTCAGATGGCATCAGAAATGGGAAATAATTCGAATTCAGATACAAAACATGATCGTAAAAAAAAGAGGAAGGAATTTATTTGCACACCTAATATTAATAAATTTGTAATTATATTTAAATTAATTATATTTAATAAATTTATATTATGATTCGTATCATCGATTAATATTTTATAATAATATTGTTTATAATGATTGCAGAAAATCATCGATCAAAATACAAATAATAATAATAAGAAATAGTATAATAATAAGAAAGTTAGAGAAGAATAATAAGAATAAAGAATAATAATAAGAAAGTTAATCTCTAAACACCCAACAATAATATATTTATATATTCAAATATAACTATCATGTTTTGAAAATTTTGATCTGATTGATCATAGTATTTTTCTTTTTTTATTGATTTTTTAATCATTATTGATATATGTTAAAATATTACTATACAAAAATTATATTTTAACTGCAGCGTTACAATAATATATATTTTGATTTTTAATCTTTACTATAAAGAGAATATTCATATTCGAATATCAAACTTTACATATATATTTATATATATATTGTTACAATAATTATATATTCAAATACTTTTTTTTAACCATATTTAAAATGTTTATTTTATTTTTTGATTTTATTTGAATGTTCTTTTTCTTTAGAAAATTCTTCTAATATTCTTCTTGTTTAGAATATTAGAAAATGCTATACAAATATTTTCAAATTTTTTCAAAGATATTCTCATAGCAAAACATATCAAATACAAATTATTCGCGTTAATAATTTAGAAAATAAACATTTAAAGAATAAAAATTAAAAATAAACAATAATTTCAGGTGCAACAATTTTCATTACAAGTTCTTCTTCATCCTTTAAAATTTACTGCTGGTGGTTACATTCTTAATAATAAATTATCAACAATGGTGAGTTGAATGAGTTGAATATATAATTTGATTATTTATTTAAGATTTTTCATAATTTTTTCATAATTTCTTTTTCAGTTTTTTGGTAATATAATGACTTCTATTATTATATTAATACAGATAAGTTCGTTGCTAAAAGAATATTTAATGAAAAAGAATGATGAAAAATGAAATTCTTAGACAAAATTTTTGAAAATTAGAGGTTATTATTTCTAAGATCATGATTATTTATAGCACATTATTGTAATAAAGAGATTATTGAGAAAAAAATATTAGAATTTTAACATTCATTTTTTATTTTTTTGAATATAAAACTTTCAAAATTTGGTAACTATTTTGAGAGTTACTCTATCATAATTTAAAACAAATAATTTTATCGAATTATCTCTATTCGAGAATCAACAATAAATATGATTGATAATGTCATAACAATAACAAAGTGTTTTTTAGAAAAAATAATATTTTTTAATTTTAAGACTTCTATGGTTATAGGATTCTCCATTAACGATCAATCTTTTAATCTTTACTTTTATAATATTATCATTGGATATATGGAGATATAAAAAGTTATTTAAAAGATAAAATTGCGAAATTAGGCAAAAATTTATAAATTTCTATTTAATTATAAAATTTCTGATTAAACCGCGAAATTTATTTATCTTCAAAAATTCGCTTTGAAAAATCAATTATTATCAATAAAGAATTTTGTACACTATAGAAAGCTATTTTTTTTTCATAATTTTGTTCTTTTTGAGATTCAATGTATTAACGTATTAATTGTAAATGATTTTCAAGTATGTGTTACATGCTTTTTATACTTATTTACAATTCTAAAAATTTGAGAAGTACAAAAGATAATTATAAAAGTTTGAATTCGAGATAGAATCGCAAAAAGAATAACAGAACACAATCCTAAGATAATTATAAAGGATTTTAGAATTGTAACAATTTTTTCAAAAAAACCTATGTTATATTTAAAACGCATTAAATATGTACAACTCTTATCTTCTATTTATTTTATATTATTAGAACCCTATTTAGCTTATTTTATATCCTAATTTAACAGTTATAACAACTTATTGTGGTCCACAAACAGAGCAATAACTATCAATTTTTAAATACTATCATATCATTTAGCGGAATCGTTAATTATAAGATGAAAATCTGAATTTAAATGAAGTTCGCATTCGAAATTAAAAAAGAATGACTTGGATTTTTCATACGAAGAAATTGAAATAAGTTTATTAATAATCAGCTATTACTAAGAATTAAAGCTACTATATAACTTTTTTTTTTACAATATGTAACTAATTTTACTACAATTTATTATATTTTATTATTTACATTTATGTATATTATATATATTATATAAATTTATTTTTAAAAGATTTGGGAAAAAGATTTGGAAAAAAATGTAAAAATGTAAAAATAAAGTAAAATAATACTTGGGTGAAATCGATAATGTCCAAAATTGTAATGTTTGCAATATTAGTTTTATATTTCATATTTTATTATTATTATGCATTTAAAAAATACATATTTAAAAATTATCGAAATCAGTGATACTTTTTTTTTTTATAATTATTTTTATTTAAAACAGTTTAATAAATTAAATATATTTCAATTACAGAAAATTATTTTATTACACACAACAATTACTAAGAAACAAGAAACTTTTTTTGAAGAAATCTTGAATATTTATAAAAAATAGTGCAATTATTTTAAAAAACTGCATTCTGTGATGGTATTACTTAAGATCTATTTTAGTAATTATATATTTATTAACAAAAACTTACTATACATAAAATAGAATCTTGGAAGATTCGAGTGGGACATATAATATTTCAAAATTATTGAATATTAAATTTTACTAATTATAATATTTAAATAAATGAATTTTGATGTAAAACTATTATAAAAAACCATCATATCTATCAATATTTAGCAGAAGATTCATTTTAATTTTTTGTGCAGAAGATATGCACAAAAAATTAAAAAGAAATGATGTTTCGAATCAAAACAGTTTTCTTTTTTTTTGATATGACTTATTAAAATTAAAAATTATAAATATATTTTATTTATTAAAATCTTGCATATATACAAATAATTCAGTAAATCTTTGATTATGACATTCATTTGATTTAAATCTTAACTTTCTTTCTTATTTTTTTTTTAGGAAATGTTTTCTTTTCTAAAAAATTAAAGAAAGCAAATTACTAATAATAAGAAGGAATAATTTTTTAAACAAAAATATAGATAAATGAAAATTATAATTTAAAATAGAAAAATGCACAAAAAATGTTTTGTGTTTGAAAATTATTATGAATATATAAAATGAAATTGAATATTTAAAAAAATATTAAATTTTCAATTTAATATATAAATTAAAATA